ATACAATTCCAAATCTGAAAACGGTGATTTCTCTGAGTCTTCTTCTATTACTTTTTTAAGGGCTGACATCTGACCTCCTCAAACAGAAGGAACACTCACTTTCTTTCGTTTCCGTTTCTTCACTTACGGAAATTGCAGTAATTCATACACACACACCCGTATTTAAAGTAAGTGGATCTGCAAGTAAACTGTATTTGCCAATTCGAGTTCATATGTAACACAGCAAGTTTTCTACTATTTTAATAATGAACATTCATATTCATACACTTCTATTTGCCATCCATAGATTACTGGTGCAAAAACCTTGTATTTTTCCACTTCTGTTCCCCAGTTCATTAAACCTCAGACCCACAGTGCTAACTGTGGTCTTGCTATATGTCTACCCTGAGTTCCTTCAGATAGTGTGCATCTTGTTGGGGAAAGCATGGTCTGCACCACAACTTGACTCCTCATTGCCACCTTCTACCCGTGTCTTAAGATCCTTACTAAAGATGAATGTTCTTGCTCACATGGTGTGACAGCTTCTTCTGAGAGTGCCAGAGTTTTTGATCTGTCTGCTACCACACACGATTTCTCCCATTCTTTTCCATCAGGGCTGCCCACATGGGTTAGTAGAAGAGATCTGTAGTAGCACAGAGTTACCCTGATTAGTAGAACTGGTCTAAGTCTTGATGCAAAGAAGCACAGGGAGAGGGAAGAAATGTGTTTTCCAGGTAACTGGCTGTATCTGCATCAGTGACTTAGATTGTACTGGCTATCTGCACTTCAGTCCCATGGGTTGAGGTTTTCTGGGCTAAATTCTGCATTGACAAATCCAACCACACTTTGCTCTTCCTGCAGTGCTCTTCTCAAAGACCAAGTGACTCCTCTTGCAAGCTGAATGATCCAATCAACAATCTTACTTCTAACTACCACCCTGAAGCTACTTAAGCTTTTTTCAACTGTCCATCTAACTTCTCCGCTTGAGTTTTTATTGTTCTAGCCTTTTGTATGTCCTCCATCCCATGTCATCTGGACTCACTTCATCACGGATGCTGAACACAGGCTTTTTGCAGCACAGGCACACTACTCTGCACTACTTTTCTTGTTCTTCCCCTCTGATTCCATTCCTGTTACTTCAATAATTCAACCTCTGATTTCAAATCCACCTTTTCTTATCCTATAGAGACTACTTTTCCTTTTCTTAACTGTAATAAGACTAGTCAAACTGGTTGCAACTCTCCACAAGGCCCATACTGCAGCAACCTTAACATAGCCTTAGGTGGAATGCTCCCCTGACAGATTGCAAACCCTTTTCTAGCCTTTTTCAAAGCATATTCAGCCATGCAGTCTTCCTGCTCCCATACCAGAATATCTTTCAGATGACCTAGATCCCTACATTTTCTTCTGGATAAGGAGGAAATCCTTCTCTCTTATTACCTGGTAAGCAATCAGCCCCAGTGGAATACTAACTAAGTACCTTAACACCCAGTTACCAAACCTGTATACTGTGGATCTGTTTTCAGTTTCTGTTATTCTGCTTTTCTGCTCTGTCTCTGGCTTTCACTCCAAAAGACCTAGGTTACCTGCACTCTCCACAAATCTGCAATCCTCCCTCTAAGCCATTCAATTCAGGCAACTTTTGTCAACTGCAAGCACCATATATAGCCACAAGCAGGATATAATCAACTTTAAAAGAATAAATCTTACACGGGTTTAAGATGCACAAAACCAGTGGAACTTAACAAGCTACGAAGCACAGTACATTCACAACACTCAGTAAAACTCAGGTCATATCTACTAGCAGACAGTTTGGTAGGAAATCTCTGCAGCTCCCTGAAATGGTCATTTGGGGCTCCTGAACTGCCACCTTCCAACTCTGTATTTGCATTCAGGAATGTATACCTGTAGGTGGTTTTCCTCCTGAATCCTTGAGCTGCTGTCTCAAGAAAGCAATCCTAGCTTTCTTATACTGCATGGCTTTACTACAGATTTTTTTTACCACTCTCACAACTTTTCCTTAGACATCTGAGCCAAGGTGCTCACAAGATGCACAGCATGAGACCCAGGCCCTATGTGGTGACACCTACCCGCTATAGGGCAGGGGAGGTTCCACCCTGCCCACAACCCACTTTTCTGCATTGAGCAGGGCCTGAGGGAAGCCCTAGCACTTCCCCCATCCTAGCCCCCTGCAGAGCTCCCAGATGAACATGTGTAAAGCTATTATGTAACAAAGTCATCCTAGGAGAAAAAAAGAAAAAAAATACTAAAAAACATCAGTGCAATTCTGAAGGAACCACAAAAAAAAAAAAAAAAAAGTTTCCAGAGGTTTATATCCAGTCAACCTCAAATGGCAGGACTGTTAGGGAGAAAAAGAACATTACCACACACTACTGCCTGTATTTTCAATGTATAAATACAAGCCTACTTGACCAGCAGAGCAGCATGGCAAGCAGTATCCAGCAAGGTACACTCTACTTCATGGACATGCTCCTGTTTCTTCCAAGCACGTTCTACTAGTTGCCTAGAGAAGCACTTGTGCAGATACATACTCAAGAGTTTTATTTACAGTGACAGAAATGCATTCAGAGATTAAGTAATTTACAGACTCAAGACCTTCCCTCAGAGGGACGCTATGTTCTCTGCGCATGTACTGTGCCACATTTCCCTTCTTCCTTTCCTCATACCATAACATCTCCTCCCCAGCCCCGAGAGACTGCTAAAAATCATTACATAAATAAGAGAAGGCACATCAGTGCACTTTATGGTACTTGTTTTATAAAATTATTCCCCAAAACCCCTTCCATTAGGAAAACATTAGTACTGCCAAGTCAAGCATCCAGAACTGAAAAGACGACACAACTCATTTTTTCTGTGCAATGTTAATTTGCTCCCTCCTCACTCCTTGCTGTCAGGGCTTGCACGCAGGCCACAATGTAACCTGCAGCTAGCTAACCAACACCTTCCTCATTCCATCCCAGTGCAGGACTCTGGTCACTCACCACATTTTTACATTGAGGCTGCCTAAATTGATTTTTTTTTGCAAATAAGGGAGAGAGAGATCTCTGTACAGGAGTTGGTTATGAACGGTTTACCAACATATGAGTGAAACTGTGTCACAAATAAACAAAAGAATAAAATCAAAAAAAGGAAGGAATTGAAGATACTCATGAGTGATCACAAGGCTCCTTCTCACAGATAGTGTACGACTAGGCCTCAGTTGCTCTGAGACACAAGCAAGGCTCTTTGGAACAGCATCAGTGCACTGTTTCACACCCCTCCCTCTCCCAAGGAGGAGCAATAAGGGAGTAAGAGTCTGAGATAGTCCTGCATTCAAGAAAGTTATGGGCAAAGCTCTACAGTCTTCTCCCAAGCTCAGTTATGTTCCTCACTTTTTGAAGCACTCTTCCCAAAGCGCATCATGAAGAACAAAACATGATTTGCATTTACTAGCAGACCACACGTATCTTATCTGTTTAAGAACTTCTTTCTCTCAATTTTTTCTTCCTAACACAGCTTTAAGAATTTCAGTCTTCTTAAATGGGTCACAGATAGAACACGTCTGCCCTCCTGGTTGCGTTCTTTTCCATGTTTTCATTTCAGTGAGGTGGCATAAAATTCCTTGGAAATACATCATGCTGAAGACAGCTGTGTCTGTGAATCACAAAATTTAGCTAGCAAATCAACACACAGAGCTCTAACAGATGCTCGCCTACCACAACTAAACAGGAAGTCTGACAATACAAAAACAACACTCAGCGTTATAATTGTGTGGAAAAGGTAAAACAACAGGAAAACCACCTATCCTACCCTGGCTGCACAGAGTCTGTGAATGATAGCAGTGTGCAGTTACAGACATCTCAACTGAAGAGGGTTCATTCCTCCTCCTAGATCACAGCAAGGTAGTGCATGAACAACAGGTCAGATACATAAACCAAATGGCACAATAATCGTTCTGTGAAAGTGTAATCCAAAACACAACAAAGATGAGCACTTCCTATCACTGTTCAGTTTTGATCCCCCAGCTGTTAATGCTTTTGAGTACGCCTTGCACTTAGTTTCCATGGCCCAGCTGTACATCAGATGTGGAGAGCTTCAAACTTCACTTTAAACGCATAATGAAAATGAACTGCATTTACATAGCACTATCAGAATGCAAATGAGTTATGTATTCTGTGCCAAACAAATTCATTACATCTCAGCAGATCTATTGATGCAATGATATGGTTCAAAAAGCCTCAGATGCTCTCTCTTCAGTGTTGTCTTTAAAATAAGGGCAATTAAACCACAAAAAAAGTATGATATTCAAACAGTAAGAAATATAAAATCCACAAAAATAATTTCAAGGTTGAGATTTAAGCGCTATCCAGAAGCCAGCAAATCAAGACTAGCTGACCTCAAGGTACTCACACTCAGGCAATCCTTCATATGAACTAACAAGTCAATACCTCTTACGAGTGCTAACCTGTGGTCAACATTCAAGCTTCCATCAATTATTTTTCATGCCTACTAAAGCAGTTTAACCATTTAAGTAAAAGCTGTAACTCCTTATTTCTTTAAAAAAAAAATGTGCACATGCACTCCTCCTCTCACTTCTTTATATACAAGTAAAATAATTACAATACTAGAAAAGAAAAAACAGTTCCACAATTGGTTAGTACCCAGCACTGATATTACCAGTTGCAGCATAATTCAGCTAACAACCTTCATTACCTATTAGGTTTACCTGGCCACTTAAACAGTTTTTATCACACCACCACATTGTTTAAAAGCAAACAAAGAAACCTGGTCATTCCAATCCATACAAACATATATTTTGACAAAAGCAAAGTGGAAAATAGGTGGCTATAATGATGCCACTTCTTATAAAAATACTACAGTACATTTTTTTAATGTCTTTGCTAGGAAATTGTGTGTTTCTAGGTTGATAAATAATTTATACATAAAAGTTCCTAAAAAACACAACCAAGTTTAAGCATCAACTGTACCAAAGATACAAGTAACACTCCAATAAGCCTTAATTGGAAGACAAGATACAAGGGAAATAAATTTTATTTGGTATTATCCCATTTTATAACCATTGTATCTTACAGATGTTTGAATGTCATTCATCCAACTATTAAAAAAACAAACAAACCAACCAAAACAAAAACCAAACAACAAACCCAACATATCATATGATGTATGAAATCGTAACTTTTTCTCCAGTTTATTTCTCCTTCGGCTTAAACTAAAGGATTTCAGAAAAACACTGCAAAACAACTTCATGAAATTTATAGACAAGCATCCCATTGTGCCTTTGACAGACTGACAGAACTGCAAAAAAAAAGGGAAATTTGGTCAAGCTCAATCCCAGCTTTGTCCCTGAGTTTGACAGAGTGTTCTTCTTTATAAATAAAGCAATTAACTTTCACATAACAATCACACAGATAAGTAAGAAACCAGGAGACAGCTTCATAGGTCTATACTTCCTGTCCCTCCTTGCTGTTTCCTGCCACATATAGTTAAAAAAAAAAAAAAAAAACCACACACAAAACCCAGCCATCACTGAACTGCTTACAGATCAAGTTTAGAAGAATGTATCCTTAATTTGCAAACGAACTATGATCAAGCCATCTTAAATGTCTTCCTGATTCATATGAAATTGTGTTTCCACTTGTTAAGATGTGAGAGATTTGTAAGCCTTTCCAATATGAAATCAAACTAATTAGTTTAAAAATGTAACTTCTCTTTAAATGCATACACAGCATTTATGTGAAAAAGGTTTTATGAGACTAGACAGCCCATTATTTGAACAGTGAGATCTCACATCACCCTATTTATGACAACACTAGCAGCAGAAATAGTACCACTGTACAGCTGGGATCATAAGACTAAGTAAGACAACGTGACTTCAAGCTCCTTTTGTATGAAAAGTTCTTCAATCTCCAAAACACTTTGAGTGCAGGGCCATACAAAATTCCTCATTCCAAGTATTAGTTAAAACTCACTGTACAGATTGAGATAATCCCACAGGGAGGTCCCAAAGCCATGAAGAAAAAGACAGACCCTAAAAGACAGACTCTAAAAAGAATCCTTAAATTCTCCTGTCTGTTTTTTAATTATGAACAAGCAGGTAAAGAAAATGCACTGATAATTTATAATAAATAAGTTTCAATCCTCTGCAATATACAGATCTGTACTTCGTAACAAACTCCATACCTGATAGAAATGAGGAAAAAAAGCTGCAAGACAACTCAGAAGCAAAAAATTTAAGAACTACCACATTCACTTAGCAAGGCAAAATAACAGAGTTGGTTTTATTTAGACAGATTTCATAACAACTTCAGAAGAATCAGCAAGTCTGTCTCTACTACCTTCCAGCCAGGTAATGGAGACATCAGCATTAGCTGAGGAAGAGCACCTTTCTCTTCCTCCCACTGTTACTTTTTGGCTTCTCTGTGATAATTTTTCAGTCACCAAATTCTCATATAAAGTATCTCCAAGTGAAAACTACCAGAGTTTAGAAAATGTGTCTGACAGAACTGAACTGAAGACACTGATACCACAAAGCATTTCATGCTGTGAGCTATGGTCACCAGGATGAACTCCACAATGTCCTTACAGTGAAGTAATTTTTAAAGCAGTCTGAGGATCTGAGGAATTGCTACATGATTAAACTAAAAGCTTTTGACAGTACATGTCTGAGCACACATTTTTTGTCACTTGACATTTTTTGGCCCATCCAAACACTGCAAAGAGAACACTGATCACAATAAACCTGCCACTTGTACATTCTGAAACTGCCAAATTTAGATCATAGACCAGCAATAAAATACACCATTAGTAAGCCTAAACCAGCAGCCTAACATCTTACTTTACAACTTCTGAATGTCCAAATTTTCAACAATTCAGGGGAAAAAAAAAAAAAAAAAAATATCAATACAAAGTATTTGAACAAGTAAAGGAACAAGACATAAGGAAAACTAGTTGCAACAAGAAGGTACCTCCTAGCCAACAGCAAAAGTTTCTATGTGCATAAACCCTTAAAAGAAATCTTATTATATTTAACATTAGATTTCAGAGAGGACAAAATTTTTATTGAGACAAATTTGTTCGTGCTGGCATCTAACATCTCAGATAAAAAAAAAAAACACTGGAGTAAAAGTAAGAAGTTTTATAATTAACCTTCTGGAACTTCAGCATCAATACGATTTTACTTAACATCTCCTGTAAAACACCGCTCAAAACCCCTTTTTTCTTTTAGCTAAGGCTTCAGAGTATTTTTGACAAGTTAATCAATACCCTCACAAATGAATGATATGCTGAATTAAATGATCTTACATAGCTAGTATGGACACATGCTGTGTATGCCATTATCTTACTTGTAAACATCAGAACTTCCCATTCACTGCTTTACACTTCAAAACTCTGACAACTCAATCTTTCCACGTTACATCAGGTTCTAGCTCAGTAACAGTTATATTGCTATTGGTCCTTGCCTTAGTGTTTTTTCAGCTTTTGTTTTGTGGGGGGGTTTTTTGGTTGTGTTTGCAGGTTTTTTTGTCAGACCATTTATTTTCTAACCAGTTCAGCAGCATACCATGCCAAATAAGGGCATTCTTAATTACAACTTAAGATGTAAGCCATATGATGCCTTCATACCCGTAGTCCCCATCGGTAAGAATGGATTCTTCTCTCTCCATGAAGTCTGTCAACTAGGTTATGTCAGAAGGGTGTATCTTAGATTCTCATTCATAACCAAAGAGGCTGTTTGAAGAAAAGCTTAGAAAAGAATGATGCATGAAGATAAAATTACTCAGCTCTCTTTCACTGTACTGACCAGCTTAGAAGACAAAATAATATTCAGTTGGCAATCTTTTACATTGCCACTCCAATATCAATGCTTCCAATAAACCCACACAGAAACCTTTTTCCATACAGAGCTTATGTAAAAAATACAGCCCTTTACTGCAAGCATGCACAAGAACTGTTCTGTACATGAGCATTTCACGTTCCTTTCTTCATATACCGGGAGAGGAACTGGCTTCTGACAAAGTGGATCAGCTTGGTCTCTGTGCAGAACATGGTAACGGTGGTTGCTGCAAAGCACAGAGCGCCCATGCTGATGTGAATCAGCCTTGCCATCCAACCCTTATCACAGCAGAAGAATACCTACAAAGGGAACAAGCAATTGCAGGAAAACAAGTCAGCACAAAGCAGATTTACTGCGTCCATAAAAAATAAGGTCCAACACCTCTCTTGACCATGCTAACACCACCATCAAGCTGAGCACAGTTTTGCCACATGCACTGACCCTACAATAAATCATCTTTAGTAGTCGCAATACTTGCTTTCTTAAGAAAACTCTGTCAGCAAAAAATGAGCATTCAGTAGGTATCTGGTAAATACAACAGTTACCATTAACTGGCATGCAAAAACATGTTAATTGAAATATTAGGAAAACTGCTGGTGCCATCGTGCAGTCTGCTACTTTGCAGCAACATATTCAGCTATTTGCTAACAAAACCCCACTGGAAATCTCCCATTCCAAAATATAAAGTTCTCCTTTATACGGCATAATGGATTTTCAATCTGTCATATTTCTGTACATTGAAATGCTAGCATTTCTGTAATAATTAGTCTGCACAATTACCATGTTGTAGTCTGAACAGATGTGATAAATGCGCCCCCGGCAATTTTGGTTTCTGTTCTTGTTTTGTTTTTTTCCTCTATTACTTTTTTATTACAGAATTTTTAATAAGTTTCTTTGTGCTACTGCAAAATTTCAATTACTATTAAGAACTAAGGACATGGATTTATCTACAGACAGCAGAAATGTGTTAAATACTTCACTTCTCAGATACATCTTCTACAGGTGGCAGAGATAACTTTGTATCAAAGCTAAAACATCTTAATATTATATCTTGCCTTGACTGTAATGGAAATTGTCCAGCCTGTCCTCATAAACCTTTTTTGCTAGTGGTATTTCTCTGCTTGTGGACACAAAAGTCATTTGACACTAACTCTCACAGTGTGAGCAAAATCTGAGAAAGATGCTTACCTCTGAGAAACCAGTGATTACTCCACTTATGATATAAACGAGTACCAAGAACGGTGAGGGAAGCAAGCCTGTCAAAGGTCTGTAAGTGCTTCCTTTGAAGTAATCATAGATGTAGTGGATGCTGTGCGCTATTCGAATACCCATGTTAAAGCAGTTGGCAAGGATAAAGCCTATACTGCCATGCCAGTGGGTCAAGAAGTAAGAGATGCACAGAAATGTGAAAGACAAGGCCAGCATAACAAAATTGTACCTAGGGAAAAAAAACAAAACAAAAACAAAAAACATTTAACAATATATATATTACAGTAGTCATTTACTAACTTTATCTTTGAAGAAATATCACAATTTACTTTCTAAACTGAGCAACAAAAGTTCTCTTACCATCTTCTAATGCAAGAAGATAAATTTGAGAACAGAGATGTTAATAAAAAAATTAACTGAAAGAATGGAAAATACATCACGCAAATTAAACCAAGGACTACATTATGTGAAGGAAATTCTATTTTACTAATCAGTTCTATGCTCATTTCAGAAAGTCCAATTTAATTGCAATGATTAGTAACGTAAAAACTTGTGGAATTTTTGCTATTTTATTTTAGATAGGTATTAAAAAACAATAATGCTCAACAAGAAGATGATGCTTTATTTAGTTTCTGCTCCAAACAGTAGCTTTGAAAACAAGTTCACACTTTAAAGAGGTCATGAAAGCAGCCCTTGCTAAATCTAAAAAGATACTACTTTAACTGTGGAAAGTAGACCTTACTGAAATTAATCTGGAAAGGCCTCGTAAGGGACAGCCGCTATATAAATGAAAAAAGCTTGATGGTAGCACTGGGACAGCAACCAGGCTTCTAAATTGATAACCCAGGATAAACAAAATCAATAAATAATCCAGGCTGGAAGGGATCTCAGTAGATCATCTCATCCAACCTCCTACTTAAAGTAGATAAACCAATGAAAACACCCAAAATTTAGATCTTTCAGAAGTGTACCTGACATACAGTAACCCTATGTGAGAAATTTTAACAGTTGCAAAATTTTAATGAGTGTGAAGTGATAAACTGTGTTAAAAACTGTAACTTCAAGCACCTATGTACCGAAAACAAGACTTCACATTTACTTTCCCAGTTAATGATGTACCAAAAGCTAAATTAACAACCTTGCTTTCTTAATTTCTGACCATTTTACTCAAACATTTAAACATTTACTAAAACTTCTACATCTAAATCTACATGCAGACAACTAAATGAGAAGTTGGTTTTCACTGCAACAGGATATTTTTATGCTGATTTCAAATACACCAATCTTTTTGTAAGGTCATTACAAATAAATTTTTAAGGAGATCAATGTTTATCAACAAACACAAGCATGTAAAAAAAAACAATAGAAGTGCATGTTTGTTTGCACATCTGTTGCACCTGGCTCTGGAGACAAGGAACACAGTTCTTAAATTAACTGCAGAAAGAAATTTGCTCTTTAAAAAAAAAAAAAAAAAAAGCACATAACCACACAGAGCAATTGTTCTGTTTACATAATGAACTCCAAGCAAACAATATGCAAATGAACTACAGGAATATTCTGGGGACACTATTTCCTACCTGTCTACCTCTTCTTTGCACATCAAAGCAAACGTAAAACATTCTGTTACTCCGTTGATAGCAAGAAATAGGACATATAAAGAGTAACATCGGAGGAGATCTGGACCTAAAAAACACATTAGAATGGTAAGTAGATTATTATTTCTTTCATAAAATTGCATACCACTTACTGATACGAAGAGATAAGCGTTGTAATGTTGTCACTAATAATGGAAACTTAAGTTCATTTGAGTAAGTTTCTTGGGTGAATATCTTGACAAGGACACAAATAAACAAGGCAAAATAAAAACAAAAACAAAACCCAGACCACCAAGAACAGCAGTTGTTATAGTAACTGAAAAGATATCCAATAAGAAAGGGGATTAAAAGGGATTAGCTAATTACCAAATCATATTTATCAAAATCCACATCTTCTATTGTACAGAAATTTGTGGAAATTAATCCAATAGTCATTATGAGGTACTAAAAGCAATAAAATATATGTTTTGAACACAACAGTAACAGAAACAGAAAGGCTGTTCAATAGATTCAAAATTGTGCTAGATAAAAGATTATATTCAGATTTTTATGGGTCAGAAATAATTTATACATTGAGTTCAAAATTCTGCATTCAGACCTTAACCTTTTTCTTGTCCTTTAGAAATTGTAACACAGGGAAAGAAAAAAAATCACATGCTTTTCAACAGGTTAGTGTGCATCCCTGAAGATTCCATTTTGATGGCAGCAATGTAGTCCATATTAGAGTTTCCTGTTTCAGTTCTAAAGAACAACTGCCCAGTGAGCAGTAAATACACTGAAGAAATGGGGCAGATCTGAAGACCTTTTCAAGCACGCACAAAAACATTAGACTACTCAGATGAAAAAAAAGGAAAAAAATATCTAAATTAATATACCCGTTAATATCTGGTCAAGTAAGTCACTATGCATGCTCATTTTCACACATTATCATTAAGTGAATAAATAAAATTACTTGTGAGTCACTTGATTTGCATCCATATTCCTAAACATAGTCCTTTTCAGTAAGCGTGTCTAAAAGATTAGGCCCAGACACCCGTTCTTGAAGAGGGACAGAAAACATTTTCTTCATAAGAAGTTGCCTGCTGGGGTCCTGAGTGACAATTTTGCATGACATTTGCTTTCAAAATTAGAAACTAATCAGATAGAACCAGCAGCAAGAAAACACAAAACAAGTTTCTCTTGGTTATGCAGACATAGGGTTTTCCTTAAAATCACTATACAAATCAAGCATCAGCTTCCAAATACATGCAAAGGTCTAAAGCACAAATATCTAAAAGCTTAATTATCTTAAGACTAAAGAAGGTAATTGCAATTTATTTTAATGACCTTGGAATATTGCTTATTGGGTATGGTTTAAAGGTGCAAACTCTGACAGGTGCAACTGTGTTCAACACAATACACTGTTACATCCTTTCATCCTCCCTGTAACTTTAACTATAATAGACATAAAATGGAAAATGCAAGCTAGAACTCTCCCACAATGGCACATGGGCAAAATTTCCAGACAAAAAAGCAACAAAAAAAGCTCCTCTATGGAGCTGCTAGATCTTCACCCAAAACAGAACAAGTAGGAACCAAGCCATTACACAGGGCTCAGCTACAGAAGGCAGATTGTTTTTTCTAGCAGGAGTTACTGTGGGTCAACTGACAAACCACTGATAGAACTCAAGAAAACTCCAGGCTGCAATTTGCATGTTTGTGTTTCAAGAAGGAATTAAACGGACACCTACTTTAATTTATTAATTTACTTTAATTAATTGCTTCTGCAGACAGATTTGTAAAACTTAGCCCTCAGTATTTTCAACTATAGCAAGACTGTTACCACTGTATGATTTATCACTACAAAAAAAAGTATTATCATTTCTATAAAAAAACTACGCATTCTTTGGTTCCAATTTGTTGCATAGGTTTGGGGTGGTGGTGAGGTGTTGTTGCTATTTAAAACAGCTGGAGTTAGCAATGTTAGATCATGGAACAGTCCATCTTTTAAAGGGTTCTTCTCCAATGATGTGAAATTGTAGGAAAGTAGAGTCCCAAACCTGATCATACTTATTTAAAGATCCTCAGTATATTTTAGTTTAAGGTGTCTACATATTAAAGATGCTGTTACAAAGGCATGAGTTCTGGATTCAGCCAAGCTAAGTCACTGATTTCAACAGGAGTTTTACAGAAAAAAAGATCTGCTGATTTACTGAAGAATTCCTAACAGCAGCAGTTTCTCTTTTTAAACAATGGCTTCTTTGCCAGCCCTGTAATTCTTTACCTGTTCCAGAACTGAGCATTGAGCCTCCATATATATCCAGAGCCAGTTGAGAATAGGCAAAGCCAAAAACTGTGATGGTAAGGCCAATCAGCAGCACAAGTTTCAACAGCAATTCTAATACATTTGCAGCCATAGCAACATCATCCTGGAAAAAAAGGTAGTCGATTACATGAATAAGAATCAATGTAACAGTTATTTTCATGAAGAAAAGCTACTTGACAGAAAAAAAAATATCAGGTTGCACAGTGTAAAAAAGTGTGAAATTTATTGTTATTGAATTATCCATACACATGGCCTTAACTTCCAACAATTTTTATGTATTTATTACTCCATTCTATGTTTTATTCATTACAAATTCTACACAAATATTAGAACGTGTCTGTTCAAGTAAATGTGCAAACAGCACTTATACCTGTTTAACTGTTAGTAAATGGCAAAGAAGAGTATGGCATGTGCCCAAGGCCACAGTTTGAGTCACTGGGAGGGGCAGATTTTCATTGCTGCACAGGACTACAGGATTTGCCACACCAGAACAAGCAACTTGTCAGTTCTACTACCTCATTGCAAGAAGCATTTCTGTAATCCTTCTAACAAAATGTAATTTCAGTACATACGGTGAAAACTCATAACCATTTTGCCAGTTGTAGGTATCAGGTACATTATATATAAAATATACACATACGTATATCTTCCTTAGGCCACCAATGACCTGGAGCATGGGACTTGTTTAACTCCATGCTACAGTACAAGTAGCAGGATTACTGCAAAGAGTTGTTGTAGTATCAGACAAAAGCCCAAGCTGATCTTCATGACTGATCCAAGAATTTCTTACCTACAGCATGCAGGAATACTACTCTGTGGAACGAAGTTCTGGTTTGTTTAACCATTGATACTCCACATACAATTCAAAAACTCAAGAAAAATACAATTCTTTTCTTCCCAGAACTGCACTCACTGGAAACATTACTGTTTTATACTTAACAGCTACTTTTATTTTCTAGTCAAATATTTTCAGGCAGCATTTATTTGATAGCAATAACATGCTTTCATGATTTAAATAACTGACTAAGTGTACTTGGAAATACACAGTACACTAGGGTTTAAATCACTGTTTGGAGCAGATGATTTTAACTTCAATTATAATACAAGGCAGTATTATGCCACTGAATACCTTAATTTATTTAATTAGCATTTTACCTATTTTCTTTTCAGTCCAGCCTCACTCAACATTTTTGTTCTCCACTTCAACTGTTCAATTTTAACAGCCTTTTTACTCAAATTTAAACACACACATCTGTCAGTCACACTTCTGTGATGTAACTTATCTCTAACAAAACCAAGCACTTCACATGTAATTAATCCAAATTAAACATACCTGCTTCTGATCCTTTACATTCTTTCCTCTTTCCAACACGTTAGCAAAAAAGACATAAAAACTCTCCTCAATAGGCAAAAAGATAAACCTAGCCACCAGTGAACCAAGATTATTCACGATATCATATACACCTTAAAAAAAAAAAAAAAAAAAAGAAAAACACCAACATAGCAGCAACCGGTAATTCTTTTTATAGCCACATTCAGAATTCTTACTGTAGAGAAAGTTAAATGCTTCTGATGAATTTCACTAGATGAGAACTGGAATGTAAGGATTTACTGATATAGAAGAGAAAGACATCTATTTTTAAGTGTGAAGTGGTTCTTTTTTACTTTAATTGAAGTGGAAGAACAACCCTACATGACATTTTACTAGCACTTCCATCCTCAGAAAGATACTGCTCCAAACCTGCAAAGACATCTATGTCTCGTATATATATACAAACACACATACACACAGTGCAGTCATTGAGAGAATACAACGTCAGGCATGTGGATAAGTACTTTACATACTCAGAGTGAAATAACAGACTAAGGTTTGGACAGATTTCACAGGACTTGGAAGCAATGCTTCTCAACATTCTGAGACTACAGGCATTTTTGTACTTATGGCTCTTCTAAAGACCTTCAAGTAAGAGGCAGTTCAATTGCTCCAGAGAGGAGAAAGATCAGAAGCAGCTGCTGTTACTGATGGCAAGCACATATACTCAGTATTTATGGGGGAACATACTACTGCCAGCAATTAAAACTAATTCAAACTATCCAAGAAACTTCTAACAGCGGGCCAACAATTACTGCCTATTTTCCTTCCTCAAGCTGTAAAGACCCAAGGTGCTGCCAACTCAGTCAACTGAACGGCTACTGCCATACACTACTCTGTAACCACACTGAATTCTTTTAGAGAACATAATTCAGTTTTGACATGTAGTGCTATAAACAATGATGTTCTTGCTGTAACAGCTAACACAGATTCAAAAGGAAGACAGTAAAAAGCAAGAAAACAGAATTACAAAAACTGAAGACAGATAACTATAACACATCAGATACTAATGCAGTTTTGGTTGTTTTGTTTTGTTTTTTTTTTAAATAAACAAGATGCATGGCATCACATCTCCAATTTGAAAGTTTTGATCCAGATAAAAGAAAGTTAAAATCCAGGATCTTAAAATAAATTGTTATCTATATCAATCATTCTCTGAAACGTATCTCAAATTCACAAAGGCTTTGAAATCTTCTCAGATTTTCAAGTTATCTTCAAATACCTTAAGTTATTTTCAGAACAATCTGAAAAGCAGTGACTAAGAAAACTGTGTGATATTGAGGAATGGTGACACTTACCCTGATCTCCAAAATTTAACACATTCAAAAAAGTCATCACATATCGCTCACCTGTAAGTTCAAAATAAAGAACTTAAGGACAAGTCCCTAATCTTTCCCGGTACTTGTTCAGGCACTTCCAACACTAAGTATTCAAGAGAAAAATCAAATGGGACAGCAACTAGCTCAGAATATCCTCAAAAATTTAAATCAGGTTGGTAACATCTGTTGGCAACAATCTCTGAAAGTCACATGCCCACACATCCCTCCCCAGCTTTCTCAAGCTTTAAGTCAATTTTGTAAATACTATTCACTAGTCCTTCTCCATCACAGCTACATGTCAAGCCTCACCCTCTGTCAAAATTTGTTTCAGGAAGGACTGTTTGAAGAAACTCCAAGTTAATCGTGCTTCCTTCCAGTTAACAAAGGTCTGCAAAAAAAAAAAAATGTAATAAACATGATTGAAACTACAGAGTGGAAATAGAAAATACAAAGCCAGTACAATACTCTAGGCTAGCTCTAACTGTACTGATGAGGAAAACACACAATGTCATAGTTACTAGCAACTAATCTAAAATATTGCTAAATTCAAGCACCATCATTCTGATCTGGCAAAGACTTCTTCCCTTGCTGAAACTTACTGTTGTTGCAGATAAAGTACCCAAGCAAGCTTTCTACAAGTCAGAGACAGGAAAAAACAAACCCATGCTGTTTAGCATGCCAATATAACTTTCGCCTTTGTTGTAGATATAAATTGTTTACTGCTCTTCGAACTGTCCCTGTAAGTCTTGCAACCAAGAACTGATTTTACCTTTTCAATCTGCAAAACTTTTTCAAAATGTCTTCTTCCTCACTGTGTCTTTTCATTTCCATCTTTCTCTCATTTTCTTTTGATATTTGAGTTATCTGTAGGATACTGTGTACCACCGTGTTTATTTTGTGGAAAAGTGAAAGTACCAAAATTCATGGAAAAATGGTTCTGGTTTCTTTCATGCTTCACACCCAGGGATACCTGGTCATTCCCCTGCACACTGCAGATACTCTCTGTAATCTCAAGTGAATGGTTTGTGCAAAGATACTAAAAGATAAGTCAGCAACAAGCCCATAACCACAAAAAGGTCAAGTTTCATGGCATTTTGCTGACAAGGATTTTATTACTACAAACAGAATTTTCATGTACATTTTTTTCCTTAACTGGTCGTATCTTCTACAGTGCTGAGATATCCTCAATTAACTTCACTATCTCAAAATAATTTTCAAAGCTCTCTCAAGAAAGCCTTAAAAAAAAAAATCAAGAAATAAAAAAAAAAAAAACACACAAGAAATAAACTGTGCAACGTACCTCATCTTCCATCAAGTTAGGTAATAGAGCTTTCATTCTAGCAACTGGAAATGACTTCTTTGTTGCTTCAGGAGATCCCAAAAACATCACAAAATAAATTATATAGCACATTACCAGAACACCGGCATAAACAAGCTGGAAAGGTAGGGAAGCAGAGAAGAAAAATAAACAGATACAAAATTAACTTGCACATGTAGAATTGCATGCTCAAATTACATACAAGAGCTCCAAATTTAGTGAGAAGAAAATGTAGTATGTAGTCCTTATTCCTGTCAAATATTGAGCTAGGTAAAAACTTTAATTTAACACCTCTTGAGAATGCTGATTTTTTTTTTTTTAATCTGCAGGTTATCACAGCCCTTTGCTAACTTTTATGGTCTATTCAGCATTTTTAGAATGATATTTAGAGTTCAAGTATAAAGAAATATTCAGTCAAAAATCAAGCTGACAGAGTAGTTACTGTCTACATCTCTTACTTCATAACATCATTTAGGAAAGGATCTTTAAGATCATCAAGTCCAACCATTAACCTAACACTGCCAGATCCACCTCCATGTACCTAAGCACTACATCCACATACCTTTTAAATACCTCCAGGGACAGTGACTCCACCACTTCCCTGGGCAGCCTGCTTCAATGCTTGACAACACTTTCTGTGAAGAATTCTGTCCTAATATCCAATCTAAACCTCCCCTGGCTCAACTTGAGGCTGTTTCCTCGCATCCTATCACTTGTTACTTGGGAAAACAGAGACCAACAGCCACCTTGCTACAACCTCCTTTCAGGTAGCTGTAGAGAACAGTAAGTTCTCCCGAGCCTCTTTTTCTCCAACTTCAATCAGTTATAAGCTACCTACTACAGCCACTGCAAAAACTGAACAAAAAAAATAACCTAATAACCACATCTGAGGTGGATCACATTTTTATTTATAGGTGAACTAATACTGCACAGGCTACAACTCTACTTTTCAGATGCCAATATGTCCCTTCTCCATTGTAGTAAAGAAAAAGTTTTTAACCCAAATACATGTTACACATGATGAGCACCTTCTGGTAAGGTGATACAGGTTGGTGATCCAGGCTGATAAAGTTACATGTGATTATAGTCTTTTATACAGTAGAATACAAAGACTAAGATTAATTATGAAATCAGGTGGTGAACACAGTCTTCAAGCATTTGAATGTGTAACTCATTAAGAGAGAGAGAGTCAGAATAAACTTATACAGAGTAACATAACCTTATTTGTAAAAAGTGCCTTCACAGACAAGAAGGTGCTTTCTTGTACTTCCATTAAACTGTTCAAGGTCACAGTGCCAAGTCAATAACGAGTATCAGGAAAATATCAAATACAAGTACTAAATCTTTAACCTCCCAGGAACATTTTCTCTCACCTCCCTGAAGTTATTTAGCAAGCTAAATGTCAAAGGCAAATAAAAATTCAGGTGAATCAAGAATTCAGAGGAAAAAAAGAACACGGGAAGCTTACCTGAGCCAATGAAAAAATGTAAAGGCCCCATTGAGGATAAAGGACCACTAAAATAACCGTCAAAATGCATTTTGACACCACTGAAAGGCTTTCAGCAATTACCTTTAAACAAACAGAAAATTGGGAAGATTTATTTTCAACTTAACCACATACACAGAATTTATGTAGGAATATAAGACTTTCATATCAGTGTGACTTTATCACAGTTGCTTCCTGCTGAGTTGGACATCTTCAGTTGCAATTTCTCTGTAAATCTTCTATTCTTGCATTTCACAACTCCTCCATTGCACTTTCCCAGTCCTTTGTATGGGACATCAGGGAGAAAATTTTGCTTGAGAAAATCATGTTCTCAATTGCTGCATTTCACAATTTCATACCAACAATCAACTGAAATGCAAAATTGTGAAAGCTCTCCCTCCAACTAGAATTCATGATTAAGTATTTAATGATCATCAAAATGATAATTTCTAAGTAAATCAACTTCCTTGCTTTAACAAGTATAAATTCATATCTACATTACACCTCTGCCACATAGCACTAAACAGTACACAGAGGTTCCGATTTTTTATATGCTTGAATATACAAAGATCTAGCTCGGGAATCTGCTCTTTTCAATAGAGAATGGTAATTCACACACACACACAAATACACCCCATGTACTTTACTAACCTTAAGTCTCACAAACAAGTGAGCTTGTGCTAAAACCCAGAATGGTTCTCCCAGAAGTTCAATAATTGCAGAAAGACCAAATGCCACTACACCAGCCCGATAATGAGGAACCACAGAAGGATCAGGTACTTCAAGCAAATGTAGCCAGACTAAGCCCAAGAAAATAGACCAAAAAACACCAAGAGGGACTCTAAAAAGTTAACACAAAAATAAATAAATAGAAATGTTACTTTAGCAGGAAAAAAAACCAAAACAGAAAATTAGATTAAAATGTCACATATGACCATAATAATTAATACAAAAAAAAAAAAACGCCCCAATGAATTAATTTCTATTATTATTATACCAAGAAAACCTTTTTTTTTTTTTTTTTTTTTTGTAATGAACACCTCCAAGGCACTTTATGCAAGACACAGAAAAAATTTTTCTGACTTGTCTATTTTCTACTCAAGAACCTAACATAAGGCCATCTATCTGCATTTCTTGTTCCTAGGACCAAACAATTCTGATCCCATATCAGCCTGCAGAATTATGCAAGCCCCTCATTGCTGCAATTTTTATAGTCTATGGTTACCAGGTGTTTGGCAGACAAGCTTTGTTGGATCTTGCTGTAACAGATAAAGATGCCACCACTCCAACTGCTAGTCTCACTCTTCCAGAAATCACTGGTTCTCCAGAGAGCAACAGCAGAGTGAGCAGAAGAAAATGCATGCCTGCACCTCAGGTATGCCAGTTCACAATGCTCTGCTGTAGCTCAGAGCCACTTCCATTAGTGACTATAGCTAAAAAGCCAAGCTAGGCACAGGAGTGCAGACGTGTATTACCTTCTGTTGACACTGCTTCAGGAACAGGAAGCTTCTGGCAGAGTGCAGCAAGTCTTACATCATTGCAACAGGATCTATTTGACCTTCCCATTATCAGATCCCTAAAGTCTCTGACATCAAGTTCCTAAGACGTATTTCAGATCCTTCAAGAAAGCTAATCTTCATTTTAAGTTATGCTTCTCTACAAGGAAGAATTTAAAAACAAAAAGATGCACACAGTCATTGTTAACACTATCATTTAACATCCACTTGAAATGCTGTCAAATAGCAGAAACCTGATTACAATACAGTGAAGGGAACAGACCTAATATATTTAAAATATTAGTATTAAACCTATCCTTGGAAGGGGTAATTCCTCTTCTTTATACCTGGATGTAAATGACCATGCATAACCCCCCCCCAACTCCTGGGCCAGATCTCATTAATAGCTATGCAGTTCCAGGGCAAGTCAGTAGGGAGACCCAGTAGAAGACTACTATTTTGTAGTGCAGGGGTAGTCTACCTGCCTGAGATGGTGGAAAACTCACTTCCTAACCCACCTAATTGCAGCTGCACAGATGCTAGATATGACAGAGGGAAAGTAGCAGAGATGCATCCAGGAACCAGAAGGGAGAAACAAGTCATAAAATCCACTTTGCTGCTATGTGAGATTACACTCTCTGGCTGCAGCTTCACACAGACTTTAAGCTATCTACTTTCTGCTATAAACAGCACTGCAGTTGAAAGAAGTAGTCCTATTTACCTCCTGTTGCTTAACTCCAACTATGTCTCTCCTACCCAACAGAAACATTTGTGCTGCCATGCCATTAAACTGCATCAGGGCTCAAGACCTTGAAAAAAATTCGTTTCAGGAGAAAAAAAAAAAAAACTATATCTAAATCAGCTTCACAAATGCAAATCAAGCAATACAAAAGCAACACTGTGCAGGCACAGGGAGAAAAATTAAAGGACTATGTATTACACAGTAACAGAGTTTTCCTTAAACAGCTGCAACATAAATGAAACTCCAGGGTAAGTGACAGAATAAATACCTCCTGGTAACACCTTTGGTGATGCACTTTCCCACATACTCCAAGAAGAGATCAAGTCCGTAAATGCTAAAGCAACAGACTTGACCACTTTCCTGCATCAGTCCTGAAACATGACTGAAGCTATTAAATACTTAATGCTGAAATAATTACCTCAGTAAATAAATAATTGCTCTCATTTTGTGAGCTCTCAGACAAGAATTATAAATAAATACTAAATAAATAAATTTCTAAAGGTATCTTACGTCAGCCACAACAGATTAATTGTTTTGGTCCAGTTTCGCTTTGCACTTCCACTCAAACAGGCTCTGCGAAATGCCTCCCTGGCTAGGAAAACAACTGTTGAATACAGTAGAGTTAGCCTAAAGGAGATGGGGGGGGGGGGGGGGGGGGAGGGGAGAAAAAAATATAATTATTTCTTTATGTTCTACTTCTGAAATCCTTCATGCAGTAGCATCACTGACAGTTTTTACACAGGACTGCCTGACAGACATATCTAACAGGTATGCAAAGAAAACGTGGTGATATGAGGTAAATTATCACCATCTCCTAAAAAAGGAGGGAAAGTAATTACATGTGATTATTCAAATAGCAAAAATAATTTATGCATACCATAAACCAAAATCGCAGTTGCAAAATTTATTGTACAGTAACCGCAAGTAATATGCAATTGTGTCTAACTTTTCCTCAGCAAACCGATGGTTTAACATGGAAAACTGGCCACCAGTAATTCTGTTTAAGGCCAAAAAAGAACTCGGGAGACATTCAACGATCAAACACTGTAAAACACCTAACAGTAAACAGCGTTATACAAAGCGTTATTAGCGACAGGCCCTACAGATCATAGAGCCCGAAATCCCGCACCAAACACTGCCAAAAAGCCCCATCACGCCGGGAAGCCCGTCCCGAGAGAAGCCCCGCGGACACCGGGCTTAGGGCGAACAGAGCGGTCGGGATGTGAGACGCGGGCTTCCAACCCGAGCGCTCCTCATCCTCATCCTCCTCACCTCACGTTGACCACGCCGATGAGCTCTCTGGAGAGGTAGCGCAGGGTGAACGCGTTCAGCGCGAAGGTGATCACCCGGAACAGCACCTGTGAAGGAAGCGGCACGGGAAACACCTGCGGGCCGAAGGGGGGCTGAGGCGGCTCCCGCCCGGCACCGCGGAGGAGCAGCAGGAGGAGGAAGGAGGCGGCCCCGCACCTGCAGCAAGGCGCTGGAAGAGGCCAGCCGGGTGGTCTGGCTGAGCACGTCCGGCGAAGCCATCAGCTGCCCGCCCTGCCCCGCCGGCAGGAAATGGCGGCGCCGCCGTCGCGCCCCGATCTCGTCAGCGCGGCCGGGCCCGCCCCGGCCTCCGGGCCCGGTGCGGCGGGACGGGCGGGCCCGCGTCAGGCATGCTTCTGACAGAAATGGCTAACGTCCGAGTTAACCGGGCATTCCAGTCTGCTCAGGTGCTAACGCGAACGTCCAGCGCCACCTTTCCGCTTCACAAGCGGGCATTCCGCTAAAACAACCCCCCCAAACCTGCACACTGACTTATGAGAAAAGATACCATATTAAATAGCATTTTCTGACAAGCACTGCTTACCAGAGATTTCTGAAAAATCTCCATGCGAGTTCCACCAGTCCCTTTCTCAACTGAGGGCAAACGCACCAGTCTTCCCTGACTTCAGAAGAATGACAACCAAAACTGAGGGAAAACACACTCTGCAGGAAGAAATTATCTTGCTTCATTCTGTAAGAAAAACAAACAAACAAAACAATCAACCAAAGTAGAAAAAACAAACAAAACACCAAAACCCAACACACTTTCAAATAGCAAAGATGCAATTTAATTGTAAGACTTGAATTTCATAATATACTGACTTGAACTCTTCCAAACAGGTAAGACTTTACACTCAGTGTAAATCAGCGCAGTAGTTCCAGACTATTTCAGATTATTATTTAAGCATCAATATATAAAAATATTACATCTTTATGTTGCAGAACATTCCCTTCAAAAGCATGACTCTTTCAGCTCAGAAGTCACATTTTTCTTAGTAGTGCTACAGTGGAACTAAAACCTTTCACATCTAACAGCAGCTGTTAAAAAGAGCAGGGAGTATCTGAGCCCTACTTGCTTTCAGCTTGAACAACAGTTTAAATCATGATCTTAAGAGAAGTGAGATAGCAAAACAAATTTCTTCAAGCTCAAGCAAAGACGCAGTCTCCATCAATTTTGTTTTCTGCATGAAACCCCCTCTTCCTCTGAGGCATTCCACCCACCACTTTATTCTTTCCATGTTCAGACTAATGTTTTTCAAATTTGTTCCTTTGGTTATTTTTTCTGATAACATTAAAGTAATCTGGAAGTAACAAATAGAAGTGGATATACGTAGCAGAGGAGTATATCCTATGAATTAAGTGTGGTACTAATATCGGGAACACTTGTAGAAATCTAACAAAAAGATATTATTATTCCATTCTAAAGATGGGGAGATGCGGACAGAAAAAATAAACTAATCTGTGTTGGGTAACTGCAGAGACAGGAAGAAATCTCAGAGACTTTGGGTTATAGAAGGTCCTTCTAGCTAGAGGGGAAACACTGCCACCTGCCCTCTCCTTTAGGCAGTTTTCCAGTTCTCAAATGGAAAAGGCAATTAAAAATGTCCTAACTCAGGCTCTGGCCTTTTCTTAGTGGTAGTGATGGTGACAGCAGAAATCAAAAGACTTCTAGTATGTTGTGACTTGTGCTGATGTCAATAGGGGTGGTTGAACTGGGGACTGAAACCCATCACACGTTACCAGATATGGTGCACCGGGAGACAAAAACGCAGTTGAGGAGTATCAAGTAGTCAGCATCTACCAACTCTCCAGTAAGGATTCATGTTATTCTCTCTACAAAAACAAACATTTCCATGGCAAAAATAGGGAACTTCAAGGAATAAAACACGAGAAAACAGTATGCTAACTGGAGGCAACAATTCAACCTTTTCAGACATCTGCCATGGGCAACAGCAAGTGACAACTAGTGATGTTTTGTTGGACAGTGTAGTTTGTCACCTCATAAAGCTGAAACAGAAACAGACGCAAGCACGGGGAGGTGGAAAAAGAAGAGAAACCACTGTAACTTCCACTGTTTTTAATGGGAACCATCTCTGCCTCTGACACCCCTTCGGCATTTATGCAACTAAGCCGCTAGATGGCAAACGGCCTTTGAGGCAGCCGGCAGCAAGACTCCGGTCAGTCCCCGCAGCACTGGAAGGGAGTATTTTTACTCCAATAGCATCTTTCAGATTCTACTGCAGGCTATGTCAGAACAATAGTTAGAATAGGCCAACTCATAATATGGCACAACACATGTAAAAATCAGAGTAAGAGCAATATTTCGAACTTATAAATTGACCTATCAACTAACAATTTTATTCACAACTGTGTGAGCAGGCTCAACAACTGAATTGAGAGAAAACACTTACTTACTTGTAGTAACGTAACTTGAGAATAGGTGTAACTTAAAGAACCAAATTACAGAACTGGCATCCAGTGTCAAGAAAGCTTCACAAGAATATGCAGTCAAAACAACTGCTCTCCAATTCCCACAGCAGGCAATGGCCACTTCAGCCACTCCTGCATCCCCTCACCACAACATATACCCCTTTTGGTTGTCCTGAGGCAATGTTTTGTGGCAGCATACTCTAAAATAGTTCATTTTCCTTAACAGCAAAGGAGGCAAGATAAACTAACTACTACAAAGGTCTTTACTTCCAGAGTTAGGCTGCATCTGAAATGAAACTAAATTGGATGTTTCTCCAGCACAGAACACACACTCCTTGGCTCTGGACAATGGGATAAACCCCTGTTGTTGTTAGAGGTATGTGGAACCTCTGCAGCAGAGACAACGTCTTGCATCAATTTCAAAGCTGAACTAGTCCAAAAAGACCAGACAGTTGTACATACAGACCCTAGAATGAGTTGAGACTGTTCCTTCAGACTTTCAAAATGAAAAATCTTTGTGTTTCAGTAGCTCAGTAGCTGTGTTCCACTTGAGATAACTGTATTTCATTATCCCATTAATAAGGTATTTCAAGATGAAAGGTGGACTTTGACTTCAGATCACAACCTTTATATAAATTCACAGAAGTCCAGAAAACTTAAAACCTGTTAAGAGCAATTAGAGACCTTCCATCGTATCACTTCCCTCAGCGGGGAAAGCCTCTTCAGCTAAAATATTACTGCTAGTTTCCTTCGGGACATCAATTCCCAAATTAATGACTAAATGAGACTGGGAAGCAGGAATCTATTAAATCAGCAGTGAGACCTTGAAATGAGCCTGATCAGTTGTGACTTCACATCTGTTCTAGAACAAAGATCTCGTTGCAGAACCAAAATCAAATCCATTATAAAGGATCAATAGCAAATTTGCATTTTATTAACCCAAATAAATACTGCACTTTATAGTCAGGAATATATTTTAATATCTTCATTTTATTTGTGGGTTTCCTTTCCCTTAAAGCTCCCTTGCGGAATCAACCCAGTTAGAAAACCAACTGTGCTATGAAATCATAGGCAAAGTTCTCTGCTTCTGTCTGATACCTCCTAGAATAGTGCATGATATAACACAAAACGACAGACTAAGCTGTGAGCTCAGGACTGTAGATTTCTGCAGCTGCTGAAAAAGCTTTTAGCTTCACAGTCAAGACTTATTTTAGAAATAAGCAGAAGAAATACCCAAAAAACCCTGGTGCTGGCTGAGCAACCTTCCCCCTCAACGGCATCCCGTCCAGTCGATTCATTGCACAGAGACCAAGCAAGATCCCGAACACCCACAGAGAGCAGCCAAACGCTGCTGCTCATGCGCCCAGCCCCGCTCTGTGCCTCTGCAGCTGGGAGAGGCTCTGAGGGCAGCAGGCCCTCCCGATAGCATGTACTGCATGAAAAGGTGGATACACACTCCTCTTCCCTTCCCTCTGGCCTGCAGCATGATTTTGTCTCACAGCCGGACATGCGGATTCTAGTCAAGGAGACAAGTGGGTACAGAACTGTAGCTGTACAGTACTGGCTCTGCAGAGCTCACTTATCACAATACCCCCATGCTTTGTAGGGAACGTGGTGCTTAATAGAACTGCTCTGATTCTTCTGCAAGTCCACACTTGGCCATTTCAATAACTTTATTCCTGGGGTAGCAAAAGATTATTTTCCCTGTACTGCTCAGAAGCCTTGTGCCAGCACAAGACAAATTATGTTAAATCTGGTTTTAATTTTGTTTCTTTATTTTAAAATAATGCATAGAAGAGATCTATCTCTTTGTTTCTGATCATGTAAAGCTTGTTCCTTTACAGAAATAATTAGGAGGTTGGGTTCAAAGCAAGGAGTCACGTGGAGACTTACCAGACTAGGCACTAAATCTCATTAAGCTTTCTTCCCTCCTCTGAGCACCCGTCTTAGATCAGGGACTCTCTGCGCCTGAGGATGTAAAATTTCCAATTCAGTGCAGAACTGCAGGAAGCAGAAGAGGAGATTCACAGGCCATTCACCAGCAAAGGGCACACTAAGAATTACTGCTGTGCCAGTTTCTCTTCCCTCCAATCAAAGTGTTCCCAGAGGGCTTTTTAGATTAGTTTCCCCAGGCCTTGTGAACCCAGTTAATTAAACTCTGTGCATGTTAAATGGTTAAACAAAAATTTGCATTTTTTTTTCTGGCTGCATTATTAGTTCAGCAATGACTTAATTTACATCCTTCCTTTGGGATGGAAGAATAAAAGGGAGTTCTGAAGTGTGCAGAGGAGTGGTTTATTCTGTGATATGCAACATTTGAAAAAACGCATGGTCTCAGCTTTCCAGAGTAGCCTTTGACTTTGTATTGCTAGTATTAATTTTACATCTCACATTTTCAAAGTGCATTGGCCTTTAATGCACCATTTTTATGTAATTTGATCAACTAGTTTTGCTGCCTTATCAATTTCACTTTTAAATTCAACTTCTATTTATTAAAAGATTTTATGTATTAAGTATATGGAAGACTGACACTTTCTTATATGTAAAATGTTATGTAAACCAATGTTCAACTCAAAGCAAAAAAAAATGCAGCAAATTACAAGTCAAATAGTAAAATATTAAGGGTGGGATATTGCTAAGTTTTCAAAAACAGTGCCAATTACTACATTGCATACTTTATAAGGCAGATTTTAAGAAAGAGCAGATATTGATTAGAAGAGCAAAAATGAGTGTTCTGCACAAAGCTGTTTGCTTCCAATAAGCTTTACACTTTTCTTATTCTCTGCAATTTAAAAATCTGTAACATTCAAGAGACATTCTAAAAATCTACAAAAAAAACAAGTTCTTTAATCTGGAGGAAGTAATAATTATAGTAGTTTTGTTACTGGAACTGGCAAGCTCCTTGCTTAAAATTCTTGAAAAATTTGTACATTCCTTAAACACATACATAATCAATTCTGCACAACCTTTACTGTCATGTGTTCTAAATACTAAGCATTTCCTTTGTATGTATTTATATATATTCAACTGAAGATTATTTCTATCTTGCCTTCCTTAAGGCTAGGAATTCCAGTCATTTTCTCTGTGATCTGACTAACAGTCTTCATCTTACCTGTTTCTCACCTGGCTTAGGAAACTTTGTATCAGCCCCTCACTTTGAACACTGAATAAAGAATTCATCTAATCACTGTGTGCTTTGGAAGCCTATCAAAATATAAAATGAGAAAACTATAATGGAACATCTCTCAATCGTTTTGTAAAGTTTATAATGTCAGCAATAAATATAAGTAAGAAGTTCTTTTGTGGATTGTTTCCTTTACCTTGTAAATATTAACTGCCTTCATTTATTGTTCATGTCAGATATATGCAGTTTCAACCACCACTATGATAAGTATTGTTTCTGTAGGGTAAAACATCTCAAAATCTAACCTACAAACCTGAATTATAAAGGTGGTGATGAGTAGATGCTGAGGCAAATCATGTCCATTTGTCCTCCTTCCTATGCATTCTCTGTCAGATTAATTTCACAGTTATACTTGCTGCAGCAGGTTTGGTGTTGACTAACGCATTACTAGTGAACACGAAGTGTTTTCTGGACCCTAGTAGCCATAGTAAGGTAACAGAAACAGATTTTGCAGCTGTGTGCAAGAGCACTTGCACTTGAAAAATCTCTACTAGCTAGTACTTGGCATCTCTGCACTACAAAATCATTCCATAAACTCCAGGCTACCTCCCTTGGGAAAAAAATGTACTTGAAAGATACAGAAGTGCAGAAAGCCTGCAAAAGAGACTTCTACTTGCTATATAAACACATATCTTCACAAACACTATTTGCTTTAATAAAGAAATAAGGCTCTGTTCATTAAAATCGTTCACAGCTGCTGAGTACTCATGCAGAATGATCCTCCTATATTTCTAGAATTCAACAAGAAGTGTTATTAAACTTGCTTTGACCTCCGCATGACTTGTCTGTGCATGAAATAGCCTTAAGACTTTTAAAATCAACAGTAACAACAACTCAACGAACACTGTAAAATACACACAGTGGAAGGACTCAACTAACAAGTGCTTCTGAAATATGCATTAGAGGAGTCTGGATTCTGAAAATGCACTGAATACAAGATATTCCTGTAAAATATTCCAGTTTATCTTTCCTTTTCTTCTTGAGTCACTTGGAGACTTACTTTTGAAGTAGATGGAGACAGGCAGGAGTTATACTTAACCAGGAGGCTGACGCAAAATGGAGTGGTTTTGCTACTTTACGTAATTCAGCATCTAGGAGGAGAAGAATCACTTAATGGAATGACTTATAAAGGTTAAGAATACAGAATTTGTGAGTCATTATACACTGCCTTCAAACTACATTTGTATGTTCTTATGTAATATTGTGCATGATCAGCTGTAGAACAGAATTAATTATGAGTCAGGTATCTCTTCATGTCATTCATTTCCATCTCCCTTGACAGCTGACTTCCATTCTTCACTGAAATAACCCCTCTGAGCAAGAGGGTGATTAGTCTGACAAATTAATAGAATAAAATAACACCATCCCCCTTTATGGGACCTCCTCTAACATTCATGAGAGTTATGGCTAAATGAAATACATTTTTTGGATTCCTCTTATCCCTTAGCAGCAAGCAAGGAATCTCTTAAATAAAACAGTCCCAGCATATGTTTACCTATTCAGTTTCAGAAACTCCCACATTATCCTGCAACAGTTAAATTTCACTTGCAGTACCAAAACCTGAAATCCAATTAGAAAAAAAAACTCACTAGCAATATAGGAAGCAGACTTAACGCTGTGCACAGCAGGCCTCTCTCAACTACAAATAAGGGGAAAAAGAGAGCTTCCAAAAGACCTATTTACTTTTTAGTGCAAAGTCACCTAAACTCAACTTTTCGATATAAGAGAACAATATTGAGAGTCAAAATCATCTCTGCCTCTAATCCAGATGTCCACATTGTCAAATTACTGAGCTTCATTGCCTCCATTTGAATTGAAAACACGACTTCGTTGCACATCTTTCTCTTTAGACAAAAGTATAATTATTGTCTCTGAGCTCAAGGAGGCCCAAGGTCATAAGACAACTCACCTTGACAAGCCCTACTGTTCTCAGTTCATTAGGAACAAGAGACTAATCTCCAGCTTCACTGCCATCCTAGCTGTCTGTCTGTAGGCTTATATGGAACAAACAAGGATAGGATGGTTTAGGTCTAAGGACTCCAGCTGTCTCCAAACATCACTGTTCTGGGGATGGACAAATAGAAAAGGCAAACGAGATTAGTCATCACAAGAAATACCTTTCTGTAAGTCTTCAAACACAAGATCTTGCATTCTGCTAACAAAGTTAGGGAATTCCCACAATCTTGTCCCTTAAGGAGACTGTAAAGTAAAACTGCCTTCTAGCTTCCCTACTAAATAAGCTATTTCCTCTTAAAGACATACCTTTTTTTTCAGTTTTGCCAGTCACTCTGAGTTTGTGCACTAAGCAGTCAAGTAGAAAAAAGTACTTTCCTTTGTTCAGCCAAGTTGTAACTGTATTACAACTGAACCATGATATGTCAACAGTTTGTCTGTAACAGAAGAAAAAAAAAAATCAACACATCCACTCTCACTACTAAGATTTGGTTGGGAGGGTGACTGATTGGGGTTTTTTTTAAGCAACAGGTATACTGGGCTAAATTCACAATTGGAGTAAACCCTCCTAAAGATAACAGCAGCAACCAACTGTTACCTCAACTGGACTCTGGACTATGCATTTTTGCTTCCTCTCTCCCTCTGCAGGTTCATAGTTTAGTTGCAGAGGGTAAACATTTGCCTTTTATAGTAGAAGATGCTGTCATCCATTAATGAATTCCTGACCACACCTACATCCTGGGAAAAAGTCTGGTTGTAGTACTGTCAAGATACTTGGGCATAAATTATTAAGCAGCTTATTCATAAATACAGGAGGTATAGCTTTAACATGACTAGGTAGGCAGCTTAGACACAATGGGCTCTGTTTCCTTTCCCTGATAATCATATGAGGGCCACGTGGGCATCTTGATGCTGGTTTCTTTATATTTTCTATACTTCCTATTATGCTATGACAAGAGCTATATATGCCACCAGATATTTAATTTTACCAAAAAGTTGGCATCCCTACCAAGAGTCACGGTCTTACTTCTTGCCCAGCGGAAGAGAAACTGAAAACTAACACAGTCAACTCTATACTCCAGAGGAGAGCAAAAGTAACCCAATTAAAAACCACAAGTAGGCCTTCCCAGGTTTATCTAAGCTCAAAATTCTTGAGAAAATTTATCATTCTTACCAAAGGACAGAAACTCTGAATGACTGGGATCAGAACTGCTCATACCATGTCAAAGGAGCTGGGTATCCCTCTCACAACTACTGGTGTCCACACACAGCAATGTACATGCCTGGTAAGGAAAGCCATACCCTGGTTCTTGTATTCTGCCATTGCATCTACAGCTATTACTTGCACTAGAAGAGAATTACCAATAAACAGATGAAATTTCATCTTCCTGACTTCATAAGCATTATGTTGGAAAGCTAAAGGCATAGCATACAATCCACTATTAGTCTGAAGCCATAATCTGTTACTATTACCTTTACTCACTGTTCTGCAGCTTGCAGGTCATGGTTCACACCACAGTTCCTTCATTAGCAAATTTCAAAAACACTGTGTACTTCACCATGCATTTGTAGATCTCCATGTCCATCCTACCTAAACATAGATTTAAAATTCTTTTCTTAGAAACCAGTAATATCAAAGGCTCATTGTAAGAGATGTCACAGGAGTCATTTAAGGTTTTCGTGTATGGTAGAATACTCCCACTCACATCCTGAAGAATGTGGGGATGTTCAAACAAAAGCATCTGACCGCATGTCTGAGACTAAACCAGCAATGCATATCATCTTCTACCCACACCATTCTCCTAAAACTTCATGTCTATTATGAAACAAGTTCATTTCCATCTGTATGAAAAGCTTACTTTTCTGTTATCAGTCTTGCTGAGAGTCCAATAGGCAGGAAATTGTTAGTGGCGAAGAGTCAGTGGCAAACTCACTCCTGAATCCTTTCCATCACAGACACACAGAGAACCTTGCAACATTCCTATATAAACATTTAGGAATACATGTCCCTTCTGACCATTCCACTGAGACTGTATCCTCAGACTTTGGCTTTAACCACATCATCTTCTCTCAGATACTAAATTGTAGTGGGCTTCGTTCTATAACATTGTTGATAATGTTTTCAAACACTACAGGCAGGTTTACTGCAACCTGGGAAAGTGCTGGTCAGGAAATTATGTAAGAAATGAGCCTTATTTTGTTACTGCAAATCTGGCAGTTCCCCAGATCTTTATATCATTAATTGTACATACTTATCGACAAAGAAAAGAGAGCTCTTCTAACCATCATATTAAACAATGTAATTAATTCCATTATACAGATACAGAAGACATAATTTGCAACAATATAGGCCCAAAATCTGAGGTGCCTTGGTAATCTGTAATGATAGAAAGTAAACAATCCTTTTCATTATGTAATTCTGGATTTTTGACCAGTATATTCAAAATTGCTCTTGTCCTTACATATTAGTTTTTCAAACGTGCATTTAGTTATTCAAAAGAACATTTACATTAGCAGGATGAAACCTGTTGAGTCTGACTTTAAAACATGGGCAATTTTATAGTAACTTTATAATTTGTATCTCCCTCCTGCTGCCCAAGAAAAACCATCTGCTTTTTAAAGACCATCAGCAGTTGTGACTGCTAGTTGCAGAACTGTATAATTGCTTCTCTTTATGTATAAAACTGTTTGCTTTAAAATGCCATTTCCTGGTTTGCTTCCCTAATGTGACATTATATATTCTTTCCTGTACCAAAAGTGGAGCGGTTTGGGGGTGTTACAGGCTGCTAAAACTGAAATATACACTGGCAGAATTTCTGAATAGTTATGTAATAAAGTAATTGTAAATTTGACAACGGAAAACACTGCCAAAGCAGTGAAAGCTGATCAAAACCTCAGATTTTGTTCTAAACATATTACTAAAATCACAGGCCATTTACTGCTTTTTGTGAAAATAACACATGAAGATTCATTGGGGTATGGGGTGGAAAACCACACTCATTCACTTGCTTTTTTCACAATCCAGACTTATATTCAGTTGCTTTTCACCTCTGAGACAAGAATCTCACATCGTTGAAGAGAGAGTATGTTAAACCATTCATCTAAAAGTAATTCCCTTTGATCACCTTAATAATGTAGAAGCACATAAGGAGGTTACAGTTGGGTAGTACAGTGGAAGAGACAAAAGCTCAAAATTCAGCTAAGAAAAGCGCTTTGCTAATACCACCATCACTGCTTTTGTTCTACAAATGCTAACGAAGCAACAAGCACAGCTGTATAAAGGACAAGCTCTATGCTAATAGCAGGGCACAGGCTACTCGTGCATGGCTACTCTTCCACTGGTGAAGTGTTCTTTGCTATTATGTTTTTTGTTTCAAAGCTGAAAAGGAAATACTCCCCAATATACCGTAAAACAAAACAAGAATAAAGTTACTTCAAAAACGACTATGTGAAATGGACAAGAGAAGACTGCTCAATACTTCATTAGATTGCAAAAGGAAAAAGAAAGGTCTTGAAAGCAAATGAGACTTATTGCATCAATCATTTTTAAAAGGATGATGACTCTGTATTTAGAAGTCAGACACTGGATTTCACAACCATATGTGGAAAACATTAAAGGAAAAACTGGATGGGAATGCCAAGGCAGTGTGGGACCAAGAATTGCTATTATTTTTAAACCCACCCCAAAACACCATTGGGGAACAGGGAGGAAAGTTTCACACAATTATCCTCTGCAACTATTGCTAAAGTAAATTTGACTAGCAATATGCAAAAAACTGACAGCATTGGACTGCTACAGAGACTCAGTTATGCTGACAGCACCAGAACTAGTCAGGCAATTTTGGGACAGTTTCCAGCATTACTGCCCAATCTCTGCTGGTCTGTGAATAAATAGGAAATTTCAGTCTAATTATGCCAGTGCAATTTGTGACATGAATAGACAAGTAGATGGAACAGCAAGACTTCCCAATCTTCCCTTGGAAGTGCATGAGGGGATTTTTACAGTCAATAATCAGTGCATGTTAGCCAGAATTTTACTGTGAACAGTACAAAGTTTGTGGCTATATTGTCAACACAGATAAAAATGAATGGCCTGAATATGTATTTTTACCATTTTCTTCTGAATATGTGTACCAAGAATCACAAAAAGCCCCCAAGATATTACTTAATTATTAGATACTTCCTACTGGAGAAAAGACTACATCTAGTGAAAATCTGTATACCTTAAAGCCAAATACTCTCTTTTTTTAAGCCCATTCAGTTCTGCCAAAAGGCATATGGTCATGTTGGCACTTACTCTATACAATCCTCTGCATATTCAGAGCATCATATCAATATTGATTAATTCTCAGAATGCTCGTACAAGACAAACAAATAGAAGTATGACAACCAGATGCTACAAACACCACTCTATTCAATCAGATCGTCTCACTGTTATTTTATTGCTTTTCTCTAGTATTTTTAGCTTGGATAGTGTAACTTAAGTTGCATATTCTCAATAAGCATAAAAAACAGTACACATCTACGTAACTAACTACAAGTTTCAAAGTAAATGAATCATGGGGGCTGAGGGAATGGAGCAGACCATTCATTTGTAAGACTAAAAAACATCTCGGGAATTTTATTTGAAAACTATGCTATGCAATTCCTAAACTTCCTTTTCATCCCAATGTTTCCCAGATACTTTGTCCTTCACAAGGCTATACTTGCCTCTGGGGAAAACACAGTATTTCCACTGAAGCACTACAACTTGGCAGGGCAAAAGAGGAAATAAAGCATATTTAACTAAGTGAAACTGCAAGTTGCATTCAGAAACTGAAATAATGCAGAGAGCTTAAGAATGAATGTCCTCCTCTTAAAAAAATTACATAGAGGTTTTAAGAGCCACAACTTGCCAGCTGTCTTCCTTTTCATCACTGAAGGAGCATGCTGGCTCCTTAAAAGGATGTCTGTGCGATCCTTCCATTTTCTAAGGCAAAATATGAGAGCGGTCAAATGACTCATTATGGATCAAGACCTCACAGGACCCACTAACACTGCATCCCCAAGCAAAGAGGAAGCACATGTAGAACTGCTCACAGTACTCCCATGGGAAGATACTGAAGGAATCAAGAGGAAATTGGGAAACAGGCTGAAACCTGGAACCCTGGGAAACAGGCTGAAAACGCTTCGGCTTTGAAAGGACAAAATGTATGGGTTTAGTTTACTGGTTTGTCTTCTCAGCAAAACAGCAACCAAGCTGTCCAGAACTAAAAGTAATTCTGTATTAAGTCATACTACCACTACCTGGAATGAGGGTGTTGTTGCTTAGTGATCTGAGTTCATACACTGCTAAAGAAATGGGGAACAAATCTGCACGTCATAGCACCAACAGAGATTTCACAACTAATATCTCTATATTCTTCTTTTCAAAATCAGCCAGGACAGTCAAAAATTCATTTCAAAGATGACAGCTGTTTTGACTGACTGATTTTTGGACTAACTAACCATGCAGTGACGCTTTAGCTCTTTTCTGTCACATTATAAAACTGCAAGCATTAGAGATCTTGTGTACACCTGCACAGAGAAAAATAGCTCCCATTTACTTAAGACATACCAATACAGGATGTACTCCAAATCAGTCCCTACATCATATATTATTTAATCACTTCTGAAGGCACTGGCTTTAAGAGATTAAGTAGTATGCTCCTATACCTACATAAATCTGGCATTTATCTGGGTACTGGGTTTTGTTCTAGACTGGTGCTTGCCAGCTGTTATTCTGTGAGACAGACAATGTAAATAATTAAAAGGCAGCACATTCTTCCAGCTGCTAATGCTGTAAAAGACTTTCTCAGTAGTTATCCCAGAATTAGATTTAATACTGATTAAGCACTTGATAATAACATCTCAAAGACAGACAACTGTAACAGAATGAACAGTGCACAGGAAGTGCTGATTTTTATCTTACTGGCTTTCTGCCTCTATCTTCATTAAATCCTTCGGGAGTGATGACAGTAGGTTAAAAAGCATTTTTTTGCATGCAAATAGTAGTTTTCTAGCCCTCCTTCCTGCACTTTTAGCACATCTCTGTTAATAAGAGTATGTTTTCATTAGTGATGGGGCATCAGTAGCTACTGCCACAAGCCGTTCAGAAACAGATGGTTCCCTCTTATAGCTAATGACACGGGCTGGCTGTTCTACACAAAAACTGTCTGCATCCAGCTGGGCACACCAAAGAGACAGTCATCAGTACACTCAGATCCATTCCTTGTACAAAGCGCATTTTTATGTGCCACTATATATTTCAGAGACGGAATCCATCAGGTTTTGATTGTTACACTTAGTTGTCAGAACCAGTGGACCTTTCCCTGAAGTTTTCTCAGCCCTGAGAGCTGCAGAAGAGTCTGCTGTCACTGCTCATGATGGAAAAAAAAAAAGTTATTTTAGCCCTTGTAAGAGCCAATGACTTCATGCAGGCTTATGAGCAGATATCGATACCAGCAATGTTGCTGGTACAGACACAAACTTACCCACATCTGGGAAAACAAGCCCTCCACAAACATTTAAATCAACCACC